GATAGATAGATAGATAGATAGATAGATAGATAGATAGATAGATAGATAGATAGATAGATAGACTATAGTATATTATATGCTGCCACATGCATCTTTGTACTAGGCAACATATGTCTGCTATGTCCTGCTGGAGTGTGACATAATTTGTTTGTGTACAAACTAATACAGTATCAGAATTTTTATATGTTTATACTTATGTTTATAATTACTCTATGCCTAATCGCAAGTGGCTGAAGTTCTTCTTTCATTACTATATTAAAACAAAATGAAATAATTCAAACTTGACCATGTTAACAATCAACAGTCTCTGCATGGGCATGACTGCAATTTAAATCTCATGGCCACACAATATCATATATTAATTTCTTTTTATCCAATGTCACCAGATGGGCTCTGTAGTTAGACCATATATTTGATACAATCATTAGTATTAATGAATGTAATGTCCAAAAGATGCTTCCAGTGTTTTTTTTTTTCCATCTTCAACATAGACATCATCATCGGACAAAATTTTTATAAACTTTGATAAGGATGCAATTAAATTAACTAATAATTGATGGCAATTTTTTTTAAATGTACCAAATAAATTGTATAAAATGAATTCATTGGTAATATACAACACTATAATGAAATTTTTTTTAATCAAAAAAGTATTTTTACAGCCATACATATCAATAAGTAAACATACCTGAACTTGAACAAATCAACATACTGTAAAACATATTAGGTTTTTAGTTTTTGTGCAGTATCAGTACAATATAACAGTGTTGTACGTTTAAACTACACGTTGTGATTTCTCATTGTGTGTTTAACAGGTTAAGGCACTATCTTTAAGAAGGATGTCTTTACCTTGAGCCTGAAGCAGACCAGTCCCATAACAACCTCCGCACAAATCTCAAACCTCTTGTCTGCTCGGACCAGACTTTCAAACTCTTTGGCCAGGCTCACTTGCTGCAAACAGAACACAGAAAACGAATTAATCACATTTACTTGTCAGAGATGTAAGATAGTGATCGGCAACGTTGTTCCTATTCACTTTTTTTTTCCTTCCAGAATGTTAGAAAGTAGTGATTTTATGATGCAAACTAAAATAAGGCGAAACAGAAAGAATAAATAATAAAACAAAACTCACAGAAAATTTTTACTGTAAAAAAGATTGAAACCATGTCTTATAAAACACTATTTTAATGTAATTCCAGTCGCTTAACTGCTACTAGATTTTTTTCCTTTATTTTGTTTGTGGCTTTGTCTCCTCAGTGCTGCTATAAAATACAACAAAGAAGTTTAAATAAGCTTAACCTTACAAACCTTACAGAGCACAAAATGTACAGTAACTCATGGAAATCATAAAATGTAAGAGGAAAAAAATATTTAAATTGTGACAGGATTCTCCTAAACCAAGAAACTTTTACTAAAGGCTGTGATTTGGACTTTTACCCACTAGAGGGAGGTACTGAATAAATATGTACATGGGTTCTCTCACTGATCATATTTATCCAGCCAAAACACATCAGGCACGGTGTAATGACTTATTATGACCTAAATGTAATCATCAGTAAGAATTTTCTTCTAATATAAAAATATGGGATGTGTTATTCCACATCTTGAGATCACACAAGAGCTCAAGAATGATTAAACAGCTTTTGTCACACGTTGCTTTCAGAGATTTTAACCTGATCTCTTTGTTACCGAAATCTGACCAAGTTTTTCCCCTTTTCCTTTTTGTTGCTGTCTGTATTGTTCACAAGAAAATCATCTCATTTTTGCAAAGACTTCATTTTTTTTCTTAAGCAAATGCAGGATAACTACATATAAAAACAAATATCAGACCAAGCAAGACTGATTCAAAACCAAAGACAGGGCTGCAAAATTGGCAGGAACATTAAACACACACCGATCAGCCATGACATCTGTATAATTCAGAGGGTTGTGCTCAAAATGGTGGTCATAATGTTACGAATGTTGGCTGTATAGCTGCAGGGATCCGTGCTGCCACTTCTACTTCAAATGAAGAGCAAACATGAAACAGACACGTTTGACTGACAGTTAAAGGGAAGGAAGAGGAAGAGCAGAGCCAGGCGTTCAGGCATGAAGCATTTAGAAGAAAAGATGGGCCGGAAAAGGGGGCAGGCATGAGAGAAAATGTTACGACGAGGACGTATCATGTCAGACGTACGTGACTTGCAGGATATGTTTGAGTTATGCTGATGCAGAGGGTCAGGGAGAGAGGGGGTCGGAGAGGGGGCTTTACTGCTAAAGAAGATTAGGAGGCCGAGATGTGGAACGTGAGGATGGAGGTGGCATTTACCATAAAGCCAGAAGTTGTTTTTTTATTTTTTATTTTTTTGGGGTGGGGGGTGGGGGGGTGGTAAACAACAACAAAAAAAAAACAGATAGCAAAAATAAATAAATTCATGTTAATAAATAGGAGTGCATAAAATGTGAATGTGATTTTACTTGAACCTTCATACTGAATAAGATCAAATATATTTGAATACGATCAAAAACTCTTGCTGTACACAAAATAAAACCTGTCAAATGATAATACTGAAAACAAAAGACCACAGAAAACTGTCAACAGGGCAGCTGTGGCTACATTGTAGATTACTGCCATCACTGTGTGAATGAATAATGTAAAGCATCATTGATTATTATTGTAAAATAAGATGAAGCATAAAAATAGCAACATTAAAATCATGCAAAAATGTCTGCTAGTTTTCAAAGTCAATGAGTACAGTCATGTTTTAAAATCACACCTTAAAAAACACCAAAAGTTTAAATCAATGAAGGAAGTGGCAGCTTCTGAAACATCTGAATATTAGTTCTTTTTTCCTGAATGCGCAAAAGAAGCCGAGCGGAGTTACAGAGTCAAAGAACAGATTGTTTTTAAATTTCTCATTTTCTGACTTTCCAAGCATGACATTTGAACTCAGGTCAGTAGGGCTGCATGGTATCCACTGAACTAAACAGTCACTGTGATAACATGCAAGGTTTTCTTGGTCTGTACGGTAATACTTTCTTTTACAGTACTCTTATTACCATGTAATTACAAGGTAATAAAAGTAATTAAATTAATTACTACCTTATTACCATGTAATTATGTGGTAATTACGGTACAAAAGAAAAACTCCTGTTAGTAAAACTACCTTTATTGAGTAACTCCAATCAAATTACTATTCAATAGTAACTCAATATTATATTTATAGCCAAAAGAATGCAACTAAATTTTGGGGTTAGTGGTTAATTGCAATAAAATATAACTTTAAAACTGTCCAAATTACCTACTATGTATTTAGGTGTTACATAGTGAATTGTAATACATTACCAGGTAAATGCTACATTACTGCAGACAATTACATAGTAAAATTTTACCCTAATTACCATGTAATTACATTGTAATAAGACAGTTACATTTATTACATTTTTATTGCCTTGTAATTACATAGTAATAAGAGTACCGTAAAAGAAAGCATTACCATGTGTACTGTGACTGAAAGATGATCCACAGGTCTTACACATCAGGCTGATTGAGTCACTCAAACTCAGTGGCTGTGCTTTGCACAAATCATTGCTGTGACACAAGGTAGAAGCAGAAGAAAATGAGTTGGCCAAAGGAGGCAGCATTAGATTTAAAAAATAACAACTTAGCATGGTATTAATAGAGCACATGAGTTTGCTGCAGGATCAAAGGATTGTTTCTACTGGAGTCTGACAGCTAAGTCACAGCTGTCACTAATCATGCTGATTAGGTCGGGCACACGCTGCAGACTTCAAACTGGAGGAAGACAGGAGAAACTTCACAACAAAGCCTCCTGTCCCAAACCCCTGCCACACCCACCTCACTGAGCATGTAACACCCCCACCCTCATATAAAAATAATCAAATGATTCCCATTAAATACATTGTTCCATCAGTTGAAGTTATTGAAATTTCATGATTTGGTTGATTATGGTATTTTATCAGTTATGTATCGGGCTCATAAAAACACTTTACCTTCAAACATCCAATTAAATTTTACTAAAAGAGAAAGTTGTTATAATCTCAAAGGGATATACATGTTTGTTAAACTTAACTGAAGGAAAGGAGTACTTCAGTCTAGGCCAGGGGTGGGCAATCCTGGTCCTCGAAGGCCGCAGCCCCGCATGTTTTACTTTTTTCTCCGCTCAAACACACCTGATTTGAATGAATGGGTGATTATCAGGATCTGCAGTACGGAGGACCGAAACTGACATAATTAAAAATAAAAGCGGAAATACATAAATTGACTAATAAATAAATAAGTGCACCAATAAAAATCAAAAAGGAGAATTTTATTTAAAGTATATATAT